GATTAGGGTGTTTTGGCTGTAGAAACAAAAGCCCAAGAAAACATTGTTAATGGGTGTTAAACACGCTGAAAAAAATGTGTTTCTGGCTAGTTTTGTCACTGTTGCCTACACAGAACCTAAAGGCTTCATTGTTACCAAAGTGTCCTAATAGAGATACTCAATTTTTGTGAACAGTTAGAGCAGCCAAATCCTTCTGCAAATCTAAAGAATCTTTTAAATGGACACAAATAAACCATCTGTGCAACTGGAAAAAAAATGTTTGGATGCCAGGACCTTTGACTACAGATGATCTGTGAGGAAAGACATTTAGTATTGGAAACCAGTGGACAATTATTTTGCATATTTGGAAACATTCTGGACAAAGAAGGAAAAAGGTCATAAGCCCATTCTGCTTGTTTACACGATAAAGCAAGGAAACTTGAGCTCCTGGCACTGGATAGCATCTGCATGACTACATATAAAATGCAGTCCTCTGTGCAAGGAGCACGTGGGCTAGTCTGCTGGCTGAGAGGTTTCTGCTAGAGTTTAGTGGACTGCAGAGGACTGCACTAGATTGTATCAGATTTGCAGACTGCAGCAAGTCTTTTATCAAAGGCAGACGTGTTCTTTCATAAAATCAAGAACTAAAACATTTTCCATATTCATAAGAGGGCATAGGAGAAGAGGGGAAATAGACAGCATTTCCTTTGACCAAAAAACTACATATATTGAACTGATGCAGAATGGTGTGCTAAATAAAGAGATAACTAAGAAAGCCCCTGTTGATCAAAAATTCCTCCAGAGAATCTCATTTACATTGTCATAGAACCATAACAATAAATTTTAGCTACAGTCAATAAATGGAATCTGAGATGCTGCAGAATTAATCACTAAAATACAATTCTAAAAACATAACATGTTTATTGGGGGTGGGGAGAGTGGGCAGTTCAAGACTTTATTTTTATGCAATATTGCAATCAGTGCTTAACTTCAGGTGCTTACATTCAAAGTTGTATGTCCAGAGAAAGAATGGACTGCATTCATTCCTGGTGCAACTTGTACAGTGGCAAAAACACAAATAATGTATGATAGTAATGGTGTAATTCTCTTCAAGCCATTGGAGGCAGCCCAAAGTGAATTTTGTCCCATTACTTGAAAGAGAAAAAAAAAAAAAAAAGTGTTGAATGTTCTGAATTATTTAAAGCCAGCTCTGCCTTTCCTCTTGAGGTTTGGCAAATGCTCTTCCCTGGATCAATACGTTTTATTCAAATAAAAATGGAGCAATTACAACTTACACCATTGCTCTATCACCATGTTTCCTGGGTCCAGCATTGAGTTTGAAATACTCTTGGATGATGTGCATCTTGGCATCCTTTATGCTAGGACTTACACAAAAGGGAAGAGGCTGCCACTTGCAACCACACATTAAACATCTGTGCTAGCAATTTCCTTCCCATTTAGGCCCCAGTTCTCAGTTATGCTCAGCTTCTGCTGAGTTTAGCAGAAAATGGCTTGAGAAGGAGCCCGTTATGGTTGCAATACTTTCTGGTTCATTCCATTTTGGCCACAGTCCCAGGGACATTAGGGCAACACAAAAGTCAACCACATAGTAATAGACAACTAAGTGGATAGAAAACACCACCCACTGATCAACCTCTCTCTCGGATTTGTCTTTCTTACTGTGCAAAGGGTGCTTACCCCAGATTTGACTTTTCCCCCTCTGGGAATTCCCTTGCAGCAAGAGAACTGCCAGTTGAGGCGGGAGGAGGGGAAAGCCCATTTCCTCATTTTTGTAACTAACTGATTTGCACTGAGGTTGTTATTTTGCAGCTGACAGGCAGCCTGAAGAGAAGAAATCTTAACACAGTCCTGGGAAAAACACGGATGAAGTGAGCTTACAACAAACGAAGAGCTGGAAAAAAAGTCTGATGCAAGTAGGGTAGGAGTGGGAAAAAAAAAAAAAAAAAAAAAAAAAAAAAACAGAAAGAGGAAGCCAAGAGGTAGAAAGATCTTGACTGGAAAAAAAAAATTCCATGTTCTGGTCTGCCCTACACTTGAGTTATCACAGGCCAACATGCTGCAACTTGCAAAACTGGCAAAGTCCTAGTTTTGCCTGTGTAACCAGATACTTCTTTTGTTCTGCTACAAGTTTTAATTCTTTAATATCCTCTATTCCTAAAAGAAAAGCAGATTGAATATACCTTTAAACAAGATTGGGCAATTAGGAGTGCAGAAAGCAAAAGTGTGATCAGTAATAGAAGTGACAGCGTAACAGAAGACAAGCAAACCTGTTCAGTAGCATCATTCCACAATTCAGATGCAGCAGTGTTGCTTCTTACAGGTCCAAAAAGCAATTCATAGTCTGTATACTTGAGTTAGCCTATGTCTCTGTTCATGATCAGTCCACCTTTACCCATAACAGGCCAGCACGACTTTCAGACCTTAATATTTATGGATTAGAACATGACTAGATTTGGTGCTACAGTGCTTTATAGATGCAGACCACAAACTGAAACCTGCCTCATCCAAATGTGCTGTTAGGAGTCGCCATATTCTGCCACAATGTCTCTTCAGCAGAGTCCATGGCATTGCCAAAAGCTGTCAGCAGCTGTCAATCAGGTCCTGTGCAAATCCCCTGTCACAGGTTTTGCTACAAGAAGTGTAGCTGTGTACTAAGTCAGCACCAGGGCAAAGTACAGCTGAGAGAATGGCCAGGAAGTGAGAGTATAGGGAGGAAGGACAAAGAGGAACACAAACTCAGAAGAGGTTGTGTTCTTATCCTCATGCTCTTGCTAGAGTCACATAGTGCTGATGAAGCTAATACTGTTCCTTTTTACCCCTGCAGCTCCCAGCTCTTCACAAGGCTCTGTTTTCTACCTTCCAATCCATCCCCCAATTTCAATTTCTTCTTAGACTGCCATCTCCCACAGAGAGTTTTGGAGGCCATGCATCAAATCTAATGGTCCTGTCCTTTCCACTCACCATTGGAGGTGATGAAAATCTCACAGTCTACCCCAGAAATGATCAGTTACACCTTTTTCTGGCTTAGAAGTAGCACATAACAACACACTTGTGAGAAGAGTCAAAAGTCATTCCAGGGACCTATAATAGTGGTTGCTTATTGCACTCTTTGAAAATCTCATGACAAATAACTTGCTCGTCCTGGTTCTCTCAGACACAAGGGCTACTCTCTGGCAACCACAGAACCACAAGCATTAATGTGATTAATCATAAACAGTCAACCTTATTTCAAAGTCTGATAAGCAAAGTGAATATATAACACAAAATCAAGCCACCTTATTAGCAGAAAGGCTCATCACTGAATGATTTTTGAATTACACTGGATGGGTTAACGTAGGGAGGATTTCATCGGTTCATCGAGAAAAGAAATTAATTGAAAATACATTGCTGGAAACACTCTGTCCTGTTTTATTCTGTTTTAAAACTTCAAGGATTTGTCACTGAAACAAAAGGAAAAAATTAAAACTTTTGATGTTGGCTTGATTGCATATTCATGAAAATCGATGCAAAGCCTCCTATCTGCTACAGTGGGTGTCAGCACAGGGCCTGCCTGAGGTAGAAAAGTGTGAATCAAACATTTATAAACAGTTACCAGATGATGAGACTGATAAAAACATCCCACTCTCTTCCTGTTTCCACGCAAACACACAACCGAATGATGAGGGATACTTATCAAATATATCAGCCTTGAAGCTGATAAATAATAAAATGTCTTTTAAAATCCCCAACTACATACAGCTCTGCTTATTTTCTGGGGAGACCATGCTGACAACTGTGGAATAACAGAGATTTCTACTGCTGATTCCCTACTGCAAAAGCTTATGATTAATTCAACATGGAGAACAAACTATTTATAGCCTGAACATACATTTACTGTACAAGAAATCAGAATGGAAATGGAAAAAAGACATAATCCAGTAATACACAGTTTGCTTCCTAGGAGTGATCATTTGCATTCCTAACTCTGAAAAAAATTAAGGTAACAAGAACAGGTAAATGCTTCAGGAAAGTTATTTAATAAGTTCCAGGGAGGGAAATCTGCTTTGTCTGCTTAATGCTGGATGTAGATTTCTGCTGGCACAGCAGTAACTCCCAGATTCACACTGACTTCCCTGAAGCACAGAGCACTGCCCTGGCATAGCCGAAAAGGTTCAGATGCTGCTGCTAAACAAAAGAACAAACATTTATAGTTAACCTTTACAATGTCAACAGGGCTGGAGAATTTCTTAAAGGCTTAAGTTCTTGAACTGAGATTGTAAGATATTCCACCATTAATACCTTTAAAGCCCTTGTGGGAAATCTCTGGAAGAGATTGCTGCAGACAATGCTGTGGGCTTACTAGATTGGGTCACTTCAAAACATGCTTGCCTTGAAAAGCAGTATCAAGATGTGTTTAACTCAAGCGCTGATGGTTCTATTCACGTGTTTAGCAGGCTGACTTTGAAGTGCAAAACACGGGGGAGATGCCAGAAGTAGAGCAGTGTGCTTAAAAAAGAAAGAAAGAAAGAAAGAAAGAAAGAAAGAAAG